GAGGAGTCAGCCAAACCTGATAAAGGAGGACTTTGTTCTGAAGCTTTGGGGTATTGGTACCGAGCAAGGCTGGCTATACAATTAAGGAGTTTAGCTGGCTTTGAGCTGCACGTGATGGGCAGCGGCTGCCACCGCGCCGCCCCACCACCACCTCCCGTCCGGAGGAGCCCAGCTGCTCCTCAGCTTCGCTCGGCTGCTCCTCAGCTTCCCTCAGCTGCTCCTCAGCTTCGCTCAGCTGCTCTTCCGCTTGGTTTCCCTTCCCGCCGTGCGTCGCAGTGGCCTCCTCGGATGCGACTTCGGGTCTGCCTTGCTTTAAGCCTTGCCCCAGCCTCCCCGGGAGGTCCTCGCTTGGCGGGGGGTGATGAGCTCGTGGGGCTGAGCGGTTGCGAGCGTTTCGGGCTTTGCTTTGAGCGAGGATGACGCAGATTGCTTTGTCAGGGCACGGGATGGAACGGCTGCTTCGTTGTCACTGCAGATGCACGGTTGCAGCCGCCCGCTTCCCCGCCGTGTCTGCGTGAGCGGGGCCACCGGGTTGCTTGGGCTCCCAAGGCCACCCGAGAAGGGAGCCAGGTAGGGCTGCGAAGGGCTTTGGAGCTGTGTGACGAGGTTTGTCGCGCCAGCAGAGCTCTCCAGCGCCCAGAAAACACGAGCCCAGAAATTCTTTATGGCTTGGAGGAGCGGTGCAGATGGGGAGATGGAGGCGAATTATCTTTGGCTGCCCCACGTCTCCTCCGAGAAATGCCCAGAGCCCGGGGAAGGTGACCCTCCGCAGCGTGTCCGCATCCCCTCTGGCAGCCGCCCTGTCCCGGCCGCGCGGCGCAAGCAGGAGCAGGAGAAGCCGCGGGAAGCGAGGGAAGACACTTCCTCCGGCGACGGATCTGAGGTCACCTCCTGGCCCTTGATCCCTTCCAGCCCGGGGTATTTGGGTCAGCGGGGAAGCACGGCCGAGAGCGACGTCCCTTCCTTCTCTCTCTCCCTGGAGAGTCGTTTTTAAAGGAACAAATAGGCTCGGCCACAAGTGCTATGCAGTCTGTTTTTTTTTTAATGAGGTTTTTAGGAACAATGACCTAAATACCGGGGGGGTTGCATCTGCATCTCAGAGCGGTGATGTCTTCTCCGGTTGTTTCTCACCATCCTGCTCCGCGGCGCCCAGAGATATTTTTCTGCTCAGACAAATACTGGCAGGGAAGGAGCTTTTCATCTTTTTGGGATGGCCTTGCTGGAAAGCCAGCTGATCTGGTGTCCAGAATGTGGGACCCACCTGGACCGACCCTGGGGGCCCTGCCCACCTCTCGCTGCCATGCACAAGATGTTCCATGGTGCTCCCAGCCCCAACTGGCCCCTCAGCATGGCCAGGCCCGTTGCACATCCTGACCCCCACGTGCCAGCCCTCCTCTGCCACAGGGTCCCCAGCAGCGTTGTCACCCACTGGCAGGAGGAGGACCTGGTGGCTGAGGCACGCCTGGTCCCAGAGCTCCTCCAGCGTGGGCACAGCTTGATGACGTTGGGCTGGTGGGCAAATGGGTCAGCTCCCTGGTTTTGACTCCTTCTTGAGCCCAGGGTGAGCGGTGCCGGGGAGGACAGCTTGGCTTGGCCATGTTAACCCACATCTCCTGCACCACTGTGTCACTGTTCCCTTTGGAGATCTTCAACAACTTTCCTTTGGACCTGCCATGGACTAGCAGTTTGGCTGTCTTTGTGGGACATCAAGGTTGGAAGGAGCAATCTGGGGAGCTTTAGCTGGAGCTTTACCCACTGTACGATTGCACTGTGCGAGGGCTGCTGGAAGGATGCTCTCCTTGGTCAACCCCTCTGCTCCAGCAAAGGGGCACCAGCCCCATGCTGGGCTCTTCCCATACCCCACAGCATCCCCAGGAAGGTCCCATCAGCTCTGAAGGAAGCCAGGGCTGCAGGTGGCCTGGGCTTGGGTGGCAACTTGGGCTGCTGCTGTCCCTGCCGGAGCGAGGAGCGGGGTGCCTGCACCCAGGGGGGGTCACGGCTCCCGAGCTGCTCTGCAGGAGGGGTGTGGGTGGAAGCAGGGGGGCATGGATGTGGCTGGCCTCGTCGTAACTCACAGGGCCAGCAGAGAGGTGGCCATCGGGGAGGGACAGCACGCGTTGAGCCACCTCTAATATTGCCAGCCCCCAAAGCAGAAGTCGTCTTCACTCCTCTTCGCAAAGGGACAGTGCTTTAAATGCCCTTTTTTTTTTTTTAACCTAAAAAGTGGTTTCTGAAGCATTTGCTGTTGCTGTGAAGGCATCCCTTGGAGAGGGGGTTTCTCGGCCATCGCCAGCCAGGTCCTGCCATGGCAGGTCCAAAACCAGACCCTCTTCGTGCCTCTTGTAGGGGCTTGTCTGTGTGCTTCAATATCTCGCCCGGGTTATCAGCCACAGAGGTGTGGCCGGGCTAGGAATTAACCATCTCGTCCAAACCCAATGGAAAGCAGAAACAAAGATTCCCCTTTTTTTTTCTTTCCTTTTCCTGTGGGCTTTGAATCAAGTCATAACTTCTCCAGCGTCGGAGGAGCTGCTGAAGGGAAGCCCTGACTCAGGGTGGTGGAGCCCTGTCTGGTTTCCGCCAGAGGAATGGCTGCCTCTGCTCTCCATGTCCGGCAAAGTCCAGGAGAAACTTCAATACCGCGTTTCACGGACTGCCAGAAATAAACCCTTCATCCCTTGGAGCAGATCCAGGCTCTCCGGCCCCATGTCCGGAGGGGGAAAGTTTGGGGCTACGCTTCACCTCAACCCCACTTTTTTTTCCCAACCCATGGTTTTCTCCCATGGCTTTCCACCAGCCTTGCCCTGACCCAGGTGGAATGAGATCACCGGCGTCGCGCTGGGGATAAAACAGGGGCGCAAAAGGTTCAACCCCGCTCTCCGGGGGCTGTTGTGGTGGGAATCACGCTGGGACCGGAGCCGGGGCCGAGGCGGCTTTCTCCTGCCCCCAAGTTTTGCGGGGGCCTCCCGGGGCTGGAGCTCGCCCAGCCCTCCCGGCTTCCCGGGGCTTCGCTGGGAAGACAAAACCCCGCTCTGGAAGTGAGGCTATTGTTCTTACTAATTTTAACTGGATGTTCTTCCCCCAGCCTATTTTTATTCATTGCTTGTGGTAAGCTCTTTCTCTAAGGTAGAGCAATTTGCCACGGGACTCTCTTTGTGTGTTTACCGGTTTTAATTGAGCGATATCTCCTTTTTCCAAACCCAAAGCTGGAGGAGCTTTTAAGCCCCCGTTGCTGAGGCTCTCGCCCTGGGTTTGCTTTGATCTCCGCAGGTGAGCGTGCGTTTCTGGGGCCAGGGATTGATACTGCTTATTTGCATGTAAATCTCCAGGTTATTAAGATCAGAATCTGGCCCTTTAAATTTAATACTTTGCTTTCTGCTTTTATTTCCGCGTTTCTTAAAGCAGTTTCCAAAAATAACAAACTTCAAACATGACGGGGCCATCTAACGTTTTACTGCCTTGGCTGGAGTAGAAGGAACATTGCTGGAAGTGCATTATCCGATTTAACGAGCCTTTCCCATCTTGGCTTTGCTCCCGCCCCTCAGCCCCTCTTGGCGACGGTTTGGACGGCTCTTTGGAGCCGTGCCACCTGATGCTGGGAGGATGACTTCCATCACACTGTGCCTTGTGTTTCTGACCAAGAAAATTAGCCGGAGAGCAGGGGGGGGGGTCCGCTCCCCCTCCCTCACCCTCTTGCATTTTGCCCGGTGTCAAGACGAGAGCCCGGCGAGGTTCCCGCGCGGCCCTTGCTTTGCTGCTTATTGCTCCGCTCTGCCTTTATTCGGGAAGACTCCGGAGTAAATTGGGTCCTTGCGAACCGCTAATTAATTTGGAAGGGTCAGTCCTTCCCAGGCTGGCGAGGGCTTCTTTGTGTGGTCCTTTTTGGAAAGGCAGAGGTTGGAGAGGCTGTTATATTCGTCGTGATTTGCTTTTAATAGAGACCTGGCTATTTTCTGAAAATCTCACGGCTCTGGAAGGACGGGGTGTTACCGTGCGGGGCCGCGCTCAAAGGGTTTGCAGAGTGGGTGCCAAAAAAAACCCCAGCCAACCCCCAAAAAAAGGAATGAAAGAAAGCAAGGAGCACGTGCCATGGGGTTGCACTCGGCAGCCCAGAGCTGGTGCTGGAAGGTGGGAGATGCTCCAGGAGGTCCCCCCACTTGGGTGCCGGGTAGGGCTGGGGACCCCTTGTCCGTCCGTCCTGCCCTGCCGAGGGGACCTCTCGCTTCTCCTCACAGCTGGCAGGCTGGGATTTTTTTTTTTTCCTTCCCACATTGCTTTTCGTGAAAGCCTGCCTTTCCTCCCCCGAAACAGTCGCAGAAGCCATTTCAGAGAGAAGGTGGAGGGCAGGGAGAAGACAACGGGCCGAAATCATCTGTGAATAATAAAAGTGTCTGAAAAAAAGACAGGCAGGCAGGCAGCGGTGTTCTCCGGAGGTGGGCTGGAAGGAGCCGTGAGACCCCGGTCCCACTCGGGCATGGCACAACCCCGGTGTCTCCCATCAGCTCAGCGGCAACGAGCAATCCCCGCGGCACGTGGGGCGAGGTGGGGTGGTCCTGGCCCGGGGGAGTGGGGAGCAGCGAGGTGTGAGCGTGGTACCTGAAAATGCAGAGCCGTAGCTCAGGATCTGAAACTCTTCGCAGCCGAAGCCGGGGAGCAGAGGGCTCTGGGGAGGGCAGGGGGGGTTGGCCGTGGAGATGTCCCCTCCGGCAGCGGCATCATTACCTGCACACCAAGGGCCGTTAGAAAATAGCGTTGAAAGCTCGGTGCCCTCCCTAGGACACGTAGGAACCCTGCGGAGGGGGGGTAAAAGCAAAACCTGGCCGTGCCTCCATCACATGGGCAAACAGCCAGACGCTGCACTGTTCATTAATGGTGTGATGGGGCTGCCTCTCTGCCGGGACCGCCTTCAGAGCTGGACTCAGTCCCTGGTGGTTCCCCTCCCAGCCCCTGTTTGATGTGATGTCCCCCCATGACCATCGCCTTTCTTCTCTCTCTCTCCCTAGCATGGGTCGGCTCCTTGGCCATGGGCATGATTTTCTTCTGCTCTCCCATCGTCAGCATCTTCACCGACCGGATGGGCTGCAGGACGACGGCAGCCTCGGGAGCTACCATCGCCTTCATCGGACTCCTCTCCAGCTCCTTCACCAAGTAAGGCTGCAGGGGGGCCGTCGGGCTCCTCGGCCAGCTCCTCTTCCTCGCTGTTCCCTGCAACCCCCTCAACCTACACACTGCTGCTGCCTTTTGGGGCAAGGCAGCTGGTTTCCACCCAGATGAGAGGTCTCCTGGCATCGTGACAGCCCATGCGCGCGCAGCCCGTTTCTCTCCACGTTGAACCAAGTCGCTCTTTTGACCTTGCAGAACATGAGAGTGAATTTCACCTGAGCAAGGAACTTCTTGCTTTTATGGGATTTCAGCCCTCGGGTCCTTCATTTGATCTTTAAACCAGGCAGCGAGGAGTTGGCGCGCCTCTTGCGGGCAGCTCCAGAGAGACGCGTGTGGACAAAGCCGGACTGCTTTGCAACCGGTTTCACGTTGGGTACCGAGCGTAAATTGATGCTTAAAATAATATTTGATGGGTTACACTTGGCAAGAGGGAGTTTCCGTGCAGGGCAGCCAGGGAGGGGAGGCAGGCGGGGTTTGGGGGGGTTCGTGCTGTTCCCGTGCCGGCTCCGGCGTCGCGGCAGCGCTCGCCGCAG